AGCTATCTTTGGATGGACTTTGCATTTGGTTCTTTGCAACTTCATGTTCCTTTTGTCCCCTTTACTTTCCATAGACGTGATCTTAAGTAATGGAATACTTGGTATGATCTTTCGTGCTTCATTAAGGTCATCCTTTGAATTTGAATAATCTATAACACTCAATGTAAACATTAGTCCTCAAACACCATTAATGGTTTGTTATCATCAAAATCTCTAGATTGTCCTTAGATGGAATCCTTAAGGTCAATAAGAAGAATGATGAAACCAGGGGTGGAACCAAACTTAGTAGGTCTAAGGAAAATTTGAAATGTTCAAGGTGAAGGAGAGTGGCCATAACACAAGGACTTGCAAAGCACCTGAGCCATTGGTGATTGACAAACCTCCTCCAAGAAGGGGAGGTAGACCACCCATTCTTGGAAGGGGAAGACCAAGAGTACCTGAAGGCATGACAGGCAGAGGAAGAAGAAGAAGGGGAGGAAGAGGGAGAGCTAAAAGAATTGAAATTCCACCTCCAGTACCTTCAAACCAAGAGGTACTTTTAATATGATATTTATGATAATTTTCATGTTATGTCTACCTTAACTGAGCTAACTTGTACCACTCATTTTAGGTTTTAAACATACCCTTTACACAACTTTCACAAAGTTAGGCATCATCTTCTTCTAGGTATGCTGAAAACAATCCATTATGTTCTCTTTATGTTGGTTGGTATGACTTGTTATAAATCATAACAAATTGGTTGGTTTGTTAACAGGTTCATGATGGACAGTGAGTATGCCTGTTGGTAGTGAAGAAGGCCAGTAATTGCAGCATTTGTTGATGCTTTTTGTTAGTAGATGACCCTTTTTGTCTATGGTCTTCTTACTGTCAATGGTTTTTGTCACTCCAAGTTGCTGTTGGATGTTGTTTTGTTGCTGCTATGGCTCATGTTGACTTTTTGGTTACTGTATATGCTCATGGGATAGGAGAACTTTAGTTCGATTTCCATATATGTATGTTATTAAGTAGTACTGATGTTACTTCTGTTTACAATGGTAATGTTCTTATGTAATTGCAGTGTACTTTGGTTGAACAGGCTTAGTGTCATTGAACAGATATACTATCATTGAACAGGTTATTTCTAGAAATTTGTTTCATTGTAATTAAAGGTTGATGGTGCTCAGACATTTGGTTTTAATGTATATTTATTTGCTTGCAGTGTGCTTTGAATGCTTTAAAAAATTGCAGTGTAGTTTGGTTGAACAGGCCTAGTGTCATTGAACATGTCTGTCATTGAACAGTTTATTAAATTGCACTTTCAATGTGTTCCATTTGTAGTTGTCATTGAACAGGTCATTAAATTGCACTTTAAATGTGTCATTGGCATGTATTGCAGTGTAGTTTGGTTTTCACAGACTTAGTGTACTTTGAATGTGTTCCATTTGTTATTAATGCAGGCTTGCTTTATTGCAGTGCAGTGTGTTTGTGCATAATATCACGTCAAAAGCACAATACCATGTCATTTAACATTACACAATACCACTTAAAAAACACAATAGCTACCAAGGGTTTTGCAAATTGGCATTAGTCAACAACACTATTACAAAACAGAGTTTGGCATAATCTTCCTACATAACATCCAACTATATAACCTAAACCATCATACAATAACCCAAACCTCCATAACATCATACACCTAAACCTCCATGCCATCATACACCCAAACCTCCATATAACATCATACAATAACCAAAACAGTCTTAACCTACATTACATTCACTTAAGAGCAACAGATTTAAATAAAACTAAAATAGAGAACCCAAAGAATATAATGTTTCCCACAAACATAGCCATTGCAAATGATGTGATGGAATTGAGAGCTACTGGAGGAACTTCATTAGCCAAAGGAACAAGAGGACCAGCTTGAGGATGTCGATTGATGTTTGGTATCAAATGAGGAGTTCCTCATTCAAAAAACTTGCAAACCCTTCTACTACACTTATAATATGGCCTTCCAGGATTATTCGCAGACTCAGGAATGAATACAGAAGCTCTCTAGCCACACCAACACCTCTTATTCATCATTCGAGGCCCAGTATTGTCCATTATCAAGACCTTCAAAAAATTAGGAGAACTATATATATGTACACGATCTCTATTTGTACAATTAAACTTGTCAATATAGAGCCAAATACAGAGAGATGATTACCTTATATATATATATATATATATATATATATATATATCAACTGACATCAATATAGAGCCAAATAGAGAGAGATGATTACCTTATAGTCGATACAGATATGAGATTCACAGAGAGGAGTAGAACACAGCAAATACAGAGAGAGTGTGATTAATAGACGACAAACTGATGGCACGAGAGATAGAGGATCCACAACAAACATATAATCATATGGATTGAGAGGATTGAGAGGTATGACGAATCAATTTAGGGGTTTTTTGAAATTATTTTAGGGTTTCCAATAGTTGGGTGTATATACAGGTGTGTGTATATATAAAAGTATTGAGACTTAAGGTGCATTTGGTTGCAACGGTCATAACAGGGGCGAATTGGTCCTTTCAGCTTTGTAAGGGCATTATTGTCCATCAAAATTAATTCCTATATCAAGTGTCACACACGCGCTCAAATTAGAGACGTTTTTGGCCAGATTATTGCCGGAGGGGGCAATCTGCAACAAATGTGACTAGTTCAGGGGGTTTTCTGCATTTTTTGTAGTACAGGGGGTTGTTTGCATGTTCCGCAATAGTTTAGGAGGGTTTTAACTTCGGATTCTTGTAGATTTTGTAGTTTGCAGTTGGAGAGAGAAAGAGAGGAGATAGAGGCTATTGGGGAGGCTAAAATGATTTGCCCTAAAAATCAAAAAATGCAAAAAACCTATTACCTATATCAAAACCCATATCGCCATGGGAGTGGCAATGAAACCTCACAAATTAAGGTGATTTGACATTAATGTCCTTTTTATTTCCTTAATAGACCCCAATCAATGTCAAATTTTTTTTTTTTCCGGTCACTGACCTTGTTGGTAAGATTTAATAATGAATCTAAAGAATTAAAGCCTATATTTTACCCCTTTCTAACTTTTTTTTCCTGGCCTCCTCCCCCTCATTGCACTTTCTTCTTCTTCTTCTTCTTCTTCTTATTATTATTATTTTTTAGTTGATACTCACACACATATCTCCACCAAGGTTTGAAACCCTCACCTCCCTTTGGGAGGTAGGGGCCTGGTGTCGTTAGGCCAATGGCCTGCTGGTTTATTAAAATAAGGCATATGGGCTGGGGACTCAAACCTTATTATTAATTATTGAGTATATATCTATTGGATTGATATTCAAGGATTATTTTCTGCCAAAAATACTATAATTTTTTTTAAAGTTTTCTTAAGAAAAGAATTAATCTCTAAGGGCATATTTGGAAATCAGAGTTGCTGTGCTTTTGCTTTAACCCGAAAAGAAACAATATTTTTGCTATGGAGTGTGTTCAATAATATTCGAAAATATGTTTGGTAAAGTATATTTATTACAAGATTTTTAGAAATAAAAGCATAAAAAACATGTTTGGTAAAAAATTGTTACAAGTTTGAAAAATAAAATGTCTAGTTAAAAAAGTCAGTTTAGAAATTTTATTTAATTTTTTTGGGATTTGTTCATCCCTACTGTACTTTTGCTACAATGCAGAAGCAACGGAAATACCAAATTCCAATTTGATGCTTCTAGTTTTTGCCACTTTTTTAGAAACACTTTGGTACTATTCGAATCATACCAAAAGTTACCAAACACATGTTTTCGGTTCCTTACCGTACACTATTCGAAGCAAAAAATAGGAAGAAAAAGCGATTGCCAAACATGCCTTAAACTTCTAATTTTTAACGGGAGAATATATGAGACTATTTATAAAGGTTTAAGAGTTCTTATGTATTACAATAGAGTAGTGATACTCACACTGGAAGAGTCTAACCTATTTTCTTAGCCGAATCTACATGGATGCCATGTCACCAAATTTACGCTTATCTTTATTTATTTATCAAAATTACACGTTTCTCAATAAATTAATTAAAATAATTACTAAAACACGTTGACGACAACCACCACTGCTCATAACCTCGCAAATTTAACTTCAAAAATATCACAAATTAAACCTCTTTGTCATTAGAAAAACCTTTTTTTCCTTATTTTTCTTTTCCTTTAGTTTTTTATTTTTTTATAGTTCGTACTTGTATTATATGTAATCTTTTTTAAAAATTAGGGTTTTTAAATCTTGGTGTCTTTTTGGAAACCAAAGGAATTTTTATTTTTTTATAGTTCGTACTTGTATGGTATGCAATCTTTTTAAAAAATTAGGGTTTTTAAATCCCGGCGTCTTTTTGGAAACCAAAGGAAATCTGGCGTCCCTGCAATTTTTGTTTAAAATTAAATTTTAAATAATTATCTTTATCAATCAAAAAAAAATATCAGTTCGCGATATGCAATTGTTTGTTATAACATTATGTACAATATATATGGATGTTATATCTTTCATATAATGGATTAAATTGCCGCTAGTGGTCAGCGAGATGGTAAGGTGGGCGTTTATAGTTAAGATGCCTGATGCAAAAGAGATTAATATTGGTAAAGATGAGAAAGGAAGGAGAGAGAAAAATAGATTTTTGCTTTGCATTGAAGATAAGTAAGGAGAGAGAAAAACGGAAGAGAGAGAATTTAGAGTTACTATTTTGACTTTCAACGTGAATATCCATTTAAGCAGACACATAAATTTACAGTGAGACACATAAATTTAAATCGGTTCGGTGTAACTATCATTTTCCATTACAATAGGTCAAAAACGTTTTAGTACGTCACTCACAATTTTGGATCAAAATAGAAACAAATTCTTGCAAAAGACATGAAATCTCGTACGTATCAGGAAAAATGAGACCGGTCTAAGAACCGGTCCAACTTTTACAGATTGCAAAACTTAAGAATTCCAGCAAGTGTGATCTTTCCAAAAAAAATTGCGACTTGTCGAACTTTTCCAAACTTTAGAAAAACCTCAGAAACCATTACAATGAAGTGCAACCAGTTAGACTATTTAAACATTTTTAGATTTCTGATTTTTCATTCAAAATCTTAACCCGCCAAGCTTGAAATACAAGTGTCCTCACTTATGCATGTTATAAATAATGTTTTCGTCAAAATCAAATTATGTTTGCACATGAGTTGTAATTGATGTTCTGTTTCTAACATCAATTCTCAAAGTAAAACAAAAATTATAACTCCATCGAACAAGTTTTGATACCAAAATTAAATTTAAGAAGAGTGAATCCACTCGGATAATAGGAAGATCAGGCTGGGTAGAACAAGTTTTGACACCAAAATTAAATTTAGGAAGAGTGAATCCACTAGAATAATCGGAAGATCAGGCTGAGTCATTACTAAAATATTCTTCATCTTCTCATAAAATAATCGGATGAATTGAGTTGCAGATGTGATTGCGTATGGACAACGGAATTCCCATCCCTTATTTGTCGCAGACTCGCAAACACGTGTAAACCAGCTTTTACTCCCCAAAATCTCCATTATGCCCTCATACCTGCAACACAGTTGCAACTCTTTCTTCTTAAGTGGGACTTCAAAATCAATCCCCATCTCCAACCTACACTCAACTCTCTCTCTCTCTCTCTCTCTCTCACACACACACACACACACACACACTCTTTCTATCATTTCAACTCTGAAACCCAAACCCATCTCCCCGGAAATATGGCGAATGAAAATATTGCCCTTCAAGTTTTCTGTGTCGGAACGGCTGATACAAAGCTTGAGGAGCTCCGATTCCTCTCCGAGTCCGTTCGATCCAATCTTAACACCTTCTCGGACAAAGAATCTTCTTTCAAGGTAAATTCTTTATGAATTAGTATTACTTCTCTTTCATTCTTCACTTGTATGTATGTGTGTGTGTCTATATATATATGCTTAAATGTGTACATACACACACACACAATATATAGTGGCACCTTCTAGCTTGATTCGTGGCAAACCCATTTCTAGAACCATATAAATAATTGAAATGTTGTATTTTGTCATTATTTGGTTTAAGGGGAAAGTTCAGTGTACAATCTTTAGAGAGTAATTTAAATTACATGTATTGGGATGAATTGGGCACAATCTCTTGTTAGTCTGTATTACATTAAACATAGTATCTATCTTTGGCAATCCCTATTTCATTTATGTTTTAACTGTCTGGTAGAAATTGTTTTGATTTTATAGTCTTGCCCTATTAAGCCTTTCTTTCAATTTACCCAAATTTTCTTTGTGTTTTTTTCCCTTTCCAACATATCCAAAAAAAAAAAAAAAACCCTTTCTTTCACTACATTACTAAATCTAGGGTTGCACACTGCGAATGAACTAAAACTTTTAGTTGATGCATAAGTACATGAAAATTTGTGACATGTTAAGATGGTATGCTTGATATATATATATATATATATATATATATATTTGACAAGTGTATGCTTGGTAATTTTTTAAAGTGGTTTTCTGGTGTAATTCTGTATGTATATATTTAAGATTGTCAAATTTTAAAGTGATATGTTCATAAAATTGGTTTCATTAGTCCATGGAAATTTACAGGTCCAGGTGACAGTTGTTGATGTTTCTGCCAGTCCGAAGGAAACAGAGAGCTGTGGTGATTTCAAGTTTGTTTCAAGAAAGGATGTTCTCTCTTGCTATTTCAAATCAGAGGAGCAATCTCCAACCATGCTTCCAGGTGATAGGGGCGAAGCTATGGCTATAATGAGTAAAGCAATAGAAAATTTCCTCCTAAAAGCCCACGGGGATGGTGTTGTCGCTGGAGCTATTGGGCTTGGGGGCAGCGGAGGAACGTCTCTGCTATCATCTGCCTTCAGATGTCTTCCATTTGGAATGCCCAAGCTCATTGTATCAACCGTAGCTAGTGGTCAGACTGAACCTTATGTTGGGACATCGGATTTGATTTTGTTTCCATCGGTTGTGGATGTCTGTGGCATTAACAATGTGAGTAGGGTCGTATTATCTAATGCCGGAGCTGCTTTTGCTGGAATGGTTGTTGGAAGGCTCAAAAGGTTAAGGGATTCCCGTGATTATGACAAGAAGTTTACTGTTGGTATGACCATGTTTGGTGTTACAACTCCATGTGTAAATGCTGTAAAAGAAAGATTGCTTGAAGAAGGCTATGAGACCCTGGTTTTCCATGCCACAGGGGTAGGGGGTAGGGCTATGGAGGATCTGGTTAAAGGGGGATTAATACAGGTATACCTTTCGATTGTACTTCTTATATGCATTCTAAAATCTTAAAGCTTGATCCAAACGCATGTCTTCTTGGAAGATGAGGATTTGTATGACTTTAACAGTTTATCTCAATAGCACGAACATGATAAAGAGCAATGTGTTTGCTGCTCGTATTACAAGCTCTATGCTGTTTATGCAAATTTGAATAAAGCATATCATTAATATATGTGCTATTTGATTGCTAAAACATAAAACCTCCTCCAATTCTCATAAGAGTGAGTTGTCTATCAGTTCTTTTGAAAGCCAAGCAAATATGCTTTCACTCCATCTTAAAGCAATGTTTGAATAGAGTTGAGCAAGCCTCTATTTGATTCAAGATGTAATTATGTTTTTCAAGATGTAATTGGCATAGCCAGCGCATCTGATTCCCTCACTTGTAGATGATTCCAAGTATTGAGCTATCTGATGACTGTTATATGTGTACCTTTTTTCCCCAGTTATATCTGTACCTTTCAGGGAAACAAATAAGAATCTCTACCCTTTGGTACTTATCTCATTTATTTTCTATAATGCAGGGAGTTTTGGACATTACAACAACAGAGGTTGCAGATTATGTAGTTGGAGGGGTCATGGCTTGTGAGAGCACTCGCTTTGATGCTATTATAGAGAAGAAGATCCCTTTAGTTTTGAGTGTGGGAGCCTTGGATATGGTGAATTTTGGAGCCAGAGGCACCATACCTTCTAATTTTCAACACCGAAAGATTCATGAACATAATAAGCAGGTAGATTTCTCGGACCTTGTTTCTTCACTTTTCTTCTTATAGGGTCTTTGACTTTTCCTTGAGTTGAATTGATCCAGTGAAAGTATCTATAAAAATCTTAGCTTGGTATAATCCTTGCATACGTATCTGTTATTGGAGTTCCTTCATTGTCATTCTCTAATAAGATATAAGTTGGCTTTCATCAATCCTGTGATGTGATTGTCTATAATCTATATGGGGACTGGAGTGATATGAATTGTGTTTCTGATGGATCATTGGAACAAACAGGCAACTGGATTCACTCTATGGCATTAGTTAATGTTGCCACTCCTATAACTCAGGTTTTTGGGAGTGTGGTCTGTTACATGGTTCTGTATATCATCTGCAGGTTTCATTGATGCGAACTACAGTGGATGAGAACAAGAAATTTTCTGACTTCATTGCAAACAAACTGAACCGGTCATCATCAAAGATATGTGTTTGCTTGCCAGAGAAAGGAATCTCTGCCCTGGATGCCCCAGGGAAGCCTTTCTATGATCCTGAGGCTACTGGTAGTCTTATAGGTGAATTACAGAGGCTTATTCAGACGGATGAAGACCGGCAGGTACCATGATTACTCATCAAATGGTGTGTATTATAATTTCTGACCTTTTCTGTTTGCTTGAGTTTCATGTTTCATTTAATTATCATCTCAATTTATGTATTAAATTTGAAAGTTGTGTGTATAATAGGTCAAGGTGTATCCCTATCATATTAATGACCCTGAGTTTGCGAACAAATTGGTTGACTCATTTTTAGAGATATGTAAGAATTCTAAAGGTGCAATTGGTCAGCAAGATTTTTGTGAATCCAATCAAGACCTTCAAAAGGATTCTGTTTCCAAGATAAATTCATCAGGCTATGGGACAATTTCTTACAGCCCGAATGATTTCCCTGATGCAAAACCAGGTGGAAGCTTGTCTTGTTTTTCATTTTAGAAATTTACATCTTTTTGCATTGAACTGTCATATTTAGATAGTATTAGTTACAATTACACAGCACATATTATTGCATTAAATGGAACTAAAGCATTTTGGAGATGTACGACATACTTCATTTAAGCTACCTGTAATACCATGTATGTAAGTTCAGTTCTTGTTTATTGATTGTATCACAAGTACAGAAAATTTGTAATTAAAACATGACTCTGTCTCTAACATCCAACTATCTGAAAGGCTTAAAGTTTTATAACAGAGGCTAAACAATATACTTAACGGTAACTATGTTATGCAAGTGAACTATGTAGATTTATTACAAACCTAATTAGCAATGACACAGTAATAATAGTAGTGATATTAGTGATAGCAACAATAGCTGTAGTGGTTTTAATATTAATAATAAAATTATGTGATGTCTCTGTCTATAATATATTCGTTATATATACTGTTAAGATGTCAAACTTGAGTTAACATTGATGAATTAAGTAGTTAATTTCCTTTGATTTATTACTTTTACCGTGTACAAAAAAATCTCCAGCCTTAGGCTATTCTGAAGTCTTGACCAACCACTAGAAAAATATCTATAGCTGAAGCTATATTAGTAATTTGTTAAAGTCTACTCTGGTTGAATGTTCTTTTCTAATGCGAGTTTGATTTGTGGTTCCGTCCCCAGATTCTATTCAGCTTTTCATCTTTAGGCCTACACTTTTCTAATGTTTGATTGTGGACAGATATGGGACCTTGTACTGTCAATTTGGACAAAGACCTAATCTCTCAACTTTTTATTAATAGAAACCCTGCAGAGAACTTGGGGAGTGCTGCAAAAACTGAAAGATCAGGTGCGTAAGGGCAAGCCCATTATTGGGGCTGGTGCTGGAACAGGTATATCTGCGAAGTTTGAGGAAGCTGGTGGTGTTGATCTGATAGTCTTGTACAACTCAGGGCGCTTCCGAATGGCAGGAAGGGGTTCCTTAGCAGGTCTATTACCTTTCGCTGATGCGAATGCAATAGTACTTGAGATGGTCAATGAAGTGTTGCCTGTAAGTATCAATTGCTTGATTGTTCTAAATTCAAATGAACTCAGGAGTTTGTACACAAATTTTGTAAAAGTAGTGTAAGTCTGATGGCTGCTTATCTTTTAATAAAATAAAATGAATTAATTGTGATCTTAAAACAACCAAATTTGAACTTGAAAAATTGAAACCATGGTTGAAGAAGCCATTGGAATGGAGGAAGGAAAGAAAAACCATGTCAAAGTGCTAAGGATTTAATCTTTCAAAATTGATTTTCCTGTTGACCAACATTTGACTAGGTGGACTAAAATGGGAAACATTAAGTAATATAAGTTCCTTGAATTTTAATCGGCTCCAACATGACTATCCAGATGTCTTTGGTGCTTGGAAGCTCATGGGAAGATCTTGACGGTTGACAATTTGGTTATTAGGGAAAAGTTTATTCCAAATTGCTATTGCATGTGTGAGTAGAATGATGAGTTGGTTGATCGCTTTATTTATTTATTTATTTAATTTTTTATTTCTTATTTTTTTTACTTTTCTTATTTTTTTTCTTTTGCAAGGTGCTAGGGAGTTGTGGTTTTATGCATTGGCTATGTTAGGGATGTGGGTCTTCCCTTAATTGGTTTGTATTATTTTACAGTTGAGGAGTTACCATAGTCCAAGGGGGAGGAGGTTGTGGGATAGGGCCCCTATATGCATTATGTGGTGTCTTTGGGACGGGTGGAATTGGTGGTCGTTTGAAAGGGTTGACGAGCCAATCCATAGGCTAAAGATTTACTTTTTAAGTGTGTTATACAGTTGGGTAACAGGGAGGCTGGAACCCTTACTTTATGGATTTTGTGGATGGTATGGATTCTTTATTTGTTTGCTAGAGTGATATACTTTATTCTTTGTATACAATTCATGTCCTTGTTCCACCCCCTCCCCTTTACTACTGGTGCCTTATAGTGAAATCTTTTAGAAGAATATATATTGTGTGGAGTCGTATTAGAGATGATCAATTAGTCGTTTAAAAATTTCTAGTTCTCACCAGTATTTAGATACCAGATCATCTGTTCGTGACAGTTTTAGTCGCTAAAGTGTTTATGTGCTGTTTTTGGGAATCAAAATCTGTCAAACATGCTTTGAAACTGCTACTGCAAAATTAGGAAATTAATTGATACCACCTTTAATTGTCCCCTTTCCAATTATTTGGTCTAGAAAGGAAAAGAAGATAAAAGCTGTTTCTAGTTTTGGGTCTTTTGACTGTTCAATCCATGAGCTTTAATTCTTCTTGCTTGTTGAAACTTTTCAACTGATGCGTACACATATTTGAAATGAATAGGTAGTGAAAGAAGTACCAGTTCTCGCTGGAGTATGTGCAACTGATCCTTTTCGCCGAATGGATTACTTTTTACAACAGTTGGAGTCAATCGGATTCTTTGGGGTGCAGAACTTTCCAACAGTCGGTCTCTTTGATGGTAATTTTAGACAAAATCTGGAAGAGACAGGAATGGGATATGGGTATGTTTTTAAAGTTAGATCGCACTAGTATTCTCATTAAGTCACAAATTCCTCCTTTATGTTGACCAGACTGTAATTGTTATTTTTTCTTGTTCAGCTTGGAGGTTGAGATGATTAGAAAAGCTCATAAAATGGGTCTCTTAACGACTCCTTATGCTTTCAACCAAAATGAAGCCGTTGACATGGCAAAAGCTGGTGCTGATATCATAGTAGCCCACATGGGGCTCACCACATCTGGGTCAATTGGTGCAAAAACAGCTGTCTCAATTGAGGAAAGTGTAGTTCGTGTTCAGGCTATTGCAGATGCTGCACATAAGATCAATCCCGAGACCATTGTGCTGTGCCATGGAGGTATCATCTGGTTAACCATTTGTTATTTGATAGAAGTATGGTGATCCAGTCCTAAATTTTGGCATACTTCCATGAAATGTCTGGAATATATAATGAACTTTTGCCTGTAGTCTGACAGCAATCCTGTGTATAATCCATCTTTTTGGATTGGGGTGGGAAAATGTCATATTTCTAGTACACAACTTAGACATCATACATGTGCGCCAATTTCAAGATTTTCAGATCCATTCTCATCCCCGTTGCTTCCTTTTTTTGTTTTGTTTTGTTTTGTTTTTGTTTTTGTTTTTGTTTTTGAGGAGTCCCACTGTTCTTTCTCATTTTGTACATCCACTATAGCATTGTGCTTCGCATGGTTCCTATAGTTGTTTTGTGTGAATGATCAAATATATTTGGTATGCTGATGACTATTGTTGCTAAATATCTCTCTCTCTCTCTCTCTCCTTATACACTTCAATGTTCCCATCTCAATTATCCATAATATATGGAGTTTTAATCATCTTATTGTGGACATTCAGCCATAATCGTTTTAGCGCATCGTCATTGTGATGCCTTATTACTGTGATAACCATCTTCAACTTTAGCAGCCCTTCACAAAAACCTATCCTGTATAATTTGAGATAACAATGGCCATATCTCCTTCAGTTGGCCAATGCACCTGACCTTTGTTTTTATTTCAAACTAGGTTGTGGTTTGATAGTATTCGCATCGACTTGTTTGACATATCCTTTAATGATTTAAGAATGCAGTTGGATAGTAGGATTTAGATTTGAGATTTGAAGTTCTAAAACTTGTGTGATAAGGACTTTATAATGTCTAGGCCTCATTTGATACAGACATGTTTGGATTTGAAATCCAAATTCACAATGTAAAAAGTGTTACGAACAACGGATTTGGATCTTTTTATCCAGATCCATGAATCTAATTGCTGCATAAGTCTAATGCTGAAGCACATTTATGAAATACATTTTGCTTACTGAACCTCATATGACCTCTTTGGCTTGGGAGTTGGTTTCCATGGTCAACTCTTGGGTCTAGAGTTCGAGGATTGGTAGAGAGAGAGGAGAGAAATACATTCTGTTTTGGCAGGAATGGTCTGGGATATTCTGCTTTGTAAGGAAAACTGGATTGGGGGATTTGTTTCTTGTTTCATTCAGAATTTAATAGGTTCCAGCATATGTCATCTGTTTCTTTGTGTTTCAGGATGTAATGGTGCATGGTTCAAGTCCCAGATGGAACATGTGTGTGTTGTCTAATTATCAAATATCAATATATACATATATACATGTATGCCATTTTATGGCATTAGAGAAGAAATGATGTGGCAAAACAAATGGTACCAATTCCTTTTAATAAGACCAAAATCATAACTAGATGCTGAAGTTTGTAATGGCCATATGAATATTGGTATTCTATAAATTGTTCTTTTTATGTTGAAAAATATCACAATTAGTCCTGCTTAAGATTATTTATCTCAAGCAAATTAGATTGATTTTCTGTGGCTTAGGATCTTTTCTAGGAAGGTTAGGTTGATGGATTTTATTAGCCCATATGCCATTTTGGTCCGGTCTGTTTCAATATTCAACTCAACCTTATCAGATCCATTTCCAGCTCTGTGATGGATTATTAACATGCTCTAGTTAGAAGAGCCTTCTTATTTTTTCATTGCTCAAATTATGTATGCAGATGAGAGGCTTTTAAAATTGCTATGTACTGTCATGTGAATGAAATGAAAATTTTGGTGCTAGTCCAATGGATGAGCCTCTAGTTCTTGGGATCTTCCTGAGAGGTTGTAGGATCCAACTGAAACTAACTCTAAATTGGGAATCATAACAAGTTCATGCCAATGATTCATAACAATGTAGCAGTTATTTTTTCCTGTTTGCTAGTTCTTTGTGGTTAACAATATCAGTTGTCATGTTTTTGGTGTTTTAGATATGAATATTACACTCTGATTGTTCTTTCAACTCTCTATCTTTTTGAGTAGTTCTGTTTTACGGAAAAGAATATTTTGTGCAACTTACAGGAAACTGACTCTAAATTGGGAATCATAACAAGTTCATGCCAATGATTCATAACAATTTAGCAGTTAATTTTTTCCAGTTTGCTAGTGCTTTGTGGTTAACAATATCAGTTGATGTGTTTTTGGTGTTTTAGATATGAATATTACACCGTGATTGTCCTTTCAACTCTCTTTCTTTTTGAGGTAGTTCTGTTTTACGGAAAAGAATATTTTGTGCAACTTACAGGTCCTATATCCGGTCCAGAAGAGGCAGAATTCGTACTGAAGAGGACCAAAGGAGTTCATGGGTTCTATGGTGCTTCGAGCTTGGAGAGGCTACCGGTTGAACAAGCTATAACAGCGACAGTCCAACAGTACAAATCGATTTCTTTGAAGTAAAAACAATGGTGGATTTTGTCCTTCGTAAAGCCAGATGCTATCAGTATGTTCATCTTTGTTTTTTATTTACATTTCACTTTTCTTACACCCTACGTATGTGCAGAAACTGACATTTTGTGAAGTAAAATCTGAGATTGTATGTGAAAACTGTGTCGTTCTCTGTAAAGACATTCATCAAATAAAAGAAATACTTTTAATAAACAATACTTGAGGAAGGCTTTTGTCAATAATTTTAATGCTTTTACCATATTTTTAATGAACAATACTCTAGAAAAAAATGTGCTTCATCCTATCATGTCAAGCTTGTTCTGTACTAAATACTGTCATTATAAGGATATTCTTAATATTTACTTTCTTGTATTATTCTCTAGCTAACACAGGAGTTTCACGATGTTGTTAGCTGGAAATCAGAAAATTTAGAGTTACCAGATATTCTAGGAACATTGTGGCTCTGTTTGCTTTTTGGGTGAAGTAGACCATGATCAAATCTACTGTTATTTTCACGTTTGAGAGTGTTGTCGTCTGTTTCAGCGGTTTAACGCTTGATCATCAGTGTCATTGGTAGAGCACCCATTTCGTGAAATATAAAGGTTAGGTATGTCCCGATTTCTCCCTTTCTCTACTAGAATCATAAAATTGTGTTGCTCTAAAACTTGCTTGTAAATTTTTTCATAGTAACCAAATATATGCAATAATATTCATTTACTTGCATTCACTTCATTTTCCACCCTTTTCTTTTCCTCCTTTAATCAAGCGGGAAATGTCTCTACTTGGCACTCTGTATTTGCCATCTTTCGTGGGCAAAAGACTTCAGGGTTGTTAAAGACCTGGTCTTGCACGGACCAATATACACACACACACACACACACACACACACACACACATATTATATTTCTATGTGCTTTACATGATTCTTGTTTGGTGGCTATAAAGATATGTGTGGAAAAAATTTGATGATGAGAAAAGTTCACAATCTTTTGTGACAATGACATTCTTTAGTTTCCAGTCAGAGAAGACAGAGTCTTTCTCACGAAATACAGCAATGTTTTTGGACCATTGGCCAAATACTGCAACGTCTGGTTTGGTGCACAAGTTCCGTCTAATAAATGCTATTTAATCAAGTCATTCAAGTCCAAGTTGAACAAATGACTTTTTATTTTATTTATTAATTTTTTTTAAAATCTAAACCATTTCTTTTTTCTTTTTCTTTTTTCCAGTAAGTAAATTGATGATATTAGATAAAAGGATTTCTTTTTACTCTTAACATATTATGAACAATGAAAATTCGTATTCTGAAAATTTCTTTCGGAAATCTCATGAACTATATAATTGCACTTTGTAATTTCATAGCCCAAATCTTATGCCTATGTCACCATGTAGGACACTAAAAACAGACCACCCATGCGTGTTCAGAGCTTAGGAATATCATGCAGATTTTTCCGCTGCACATTGCAGTACATTCATACAATACATGTGCTTGAGTACTGCAGTTTGTAACAAGAAGACACCGCACCAGTGGTACTATTTACTAGTTTTCTTGGCACAGTGTCAACCATGAATTAGGATCCTCTAGGGCACCGGTCCTTGTCATTAGCAACGGTTTGGGATCAATTTAGCCGGATTAATTTAGTCCTGATATCTGTTATTGGGCTAATCTGAGTTGTTATTCGTGTACTGACAAATACCGATGTTCTGGAGAGGAACCAAGTTAACATCCTTTTAACTCGTGATCCAAACCCTTGTGATCATGTTGAATCATTGTTACAACTTACTATTTGTTTAAGGCCCTTGATCCAATGCTATTTGATTTTTTATCCAAATAATAAGGTCTACCCAACTCAGCTTAGGGCTCAAACAACAAAGATAAAAGTTTGGGTAATATTTATCTTGGGAAAATATTTTAACACCTCCCTAATTAAAAAAGCTTTAATTTTACATACATTTTAGCAATTCACTTGACTTGGCTTAGTCACACTTCAAAACTAACATTGAAAAATCCTGATAACGATAGTAATACATAAATGGTTTAAAACACTTTTTTGCAGTCTATACATCCAAGATTTTAAGAGGTGCATTTTGGCCATTTAAAAAAAAAAATCAAGAAATTTCCTAGAAACTCCATTATCATTTGTTTGTCTCTCAAAGTCAATGAGTCAGCCCAACCTCACATTCTCGAAGAAGAATCAGCCTGCTTCATTGTTCATTGGTTTTGGAGTTCTCTATCTTAGAACAATGACACATTTTCTTAGCCACTAAGCCTCACATGTCCCAAAACACACCCACCCATTTTGAAATAACCTAAAAAAGAAGAAAAGAATAAAAATTTATCAGAGTATTGACAAAACTAATCATATCTTGTTTATTGTCACAACTCGATGATAATAATAATAGATAATTATTAACAAGACTGATCATTTATCGTCATCTAAATTAAATTTTTTTTTTTTTTTTTTTTTTTTTTTCAATGACATTTTTGCACTATTTTTTACTAGTCAACAAGAGCAAAAGTTTTGGGAACGACCCAAGTCAAGAGGTCAAGACAAAACCAACTCTATAAGAAATTAAGAAGAGATCCAAAACACGAAAAAACAAAGAACTGAAAACAACTTTGAATTGTTAAAATCCCAAACCATGTCTTCCACAGAAGAGCACTCCAAATTGGCCATGGCCAAGACGGTCGTAACCACCATAGGCTCAGTCGCCGCGGCGGCCATGGTGGTCCGATCCGTCACCCACGACTACCTCCCACCTGAAATCCAAGACTTCCTCTTCTCCGGCATCCGAACCTTCTTCAACCGCTTCTCCTCTCAGCTCACCATGGTCATCGACGAGTTCGACGGCCTCGTCAATAACGAAATCTACGACGCCGCCGAGGTCTACCTGGCCTCCAAAATCTCCTACGACACAAACCGCCTAAAAGTCTCCAAACCCGACAAAGAAAAGAGCATCAACATTGCAATGGACAGCAACGAAGAGGTAATAAAAAAACGCTATCTCGCTACATATTTTTATTTTTATTTTTTATATTATATTTTTTTATTTAACATTTTAAAGTCATTTCTAATAACTTCGTTTCGTCAACTAATCAAATTTCAATTTCAGGTGACAGATGAGTTTGATGGGGCTAAATTGAAATGGGTTTTCGTTACTACACAAGTTGAATCCAAGAGCTTCTACAATCCCCGCGACACGAACTCGACTCTCCGATCAGAGCTCCGATCATTCCAGCTCACATTCCACAAGAAGCACAAAGACAAAGTACTCAACTCATACTTGCCATTCATATTAAAGGAAGCCAAGTCAATGCACCACGAGAAGAAGACTCTGAAGATCTTCACCGTCGATCACGAAAACATGTACATGGGGTTGTCCAATGCGTGGATTCCGGTGAACCTCGACCATCCGGCGACCTTCGACACGCTGGCGATGGACTCGGAGATGAAGGATACATTAATGAAGGATCTAGAGAGGTTTGTGAGGAGGAGGGAGTACTACAGGAAGGTTGGGAAGGCTTGGAAGAGAGGGTACCTGTTGTACGGACCGCCGGGGACCGGGAAGTCGAGCTTGATCGCCGCCATGGCGAATTACTTGAATTTTGATATCTATGATTTGGAGTTGACGGAGCTCCGGTGCAACTCCGAGCTCCGGCGGCTGCTGCTGGCGACGGCGAACCAGTCTATACTGGTGGTGGAGGACATTGACTGCACCATTGAGTTGCAAGATAGGGATGTGGCTGAAGCTTCACAGATTCATGCTGCACATAATCAGCAACAAAACAAGGTTAGTTTTGTTAACTTTTTGGATTGTGTGTGTATTTTTTTATTTTTTCTCTTCTTATTTGTGTTTCCATTTGTTTTTTATTGTTTGGTTTTTGGTCAACCAGAGTTGTTTTTGGTCTCTTTCAATGGTGTTGAAGGGTTTGGTTGCTGAGAAAATTAATAGTGAGTACTTCTATGCTTCAATGCAAACCTCAAAAGAATAGTCAGACAGGTCTCGGCCAATTAGAGAAGGCCAAACAACTAAAAAGCTGAATAAAATTAATACATTGATTTTTACAGTTTTCTTGGAACCATGTCACAAAATTACTTAATAATTTATTTTTTTCACTATATTGTTCCTAGGAAACAATAATAAAATTAACAAAATTCTTCCAACACACCATGTTGTGGTGGGTCCCACTTTACTATGTATATATTGAATTAGACCTAATTCGGTCTCAACATCATAATTCTAAAAATTTTAGTTTTCTTGAATCAATGGTTTCACGGTTAGAAATTGCTTTAATTATAAATTTTGATAATGTCTTTTAAGTATTGAACAGTGAACATCCTTCTTTTGGGTGCATCAATATGGGGAGTGTGGCTGAAAATGATAATACGGTGAAATACACTATCAAAGGCCTACCTTTCTAGTGGACAAGTTAGGATCAGGACATTGCATCCGACAAATCTAAACTCACACGTTACGTGTTGGAATTCGTTTGATACAATATAACATACTTGAATTACACGGAATATGCTATAATTCTTTGTCAAGTATGATTGTTGACCTTGATATTACGAACTTTTGAGTCTAAATCTTCACATAATCTATTTATTTAATTAGTAGTGCGTTCAATTTTTCCAACAGTATGCTCGCTTTCAAGTCTCCTAGTAGTTTGCCTGTATGTTGGGCACGATCATACAGGGCACTATTAATTTTCTGACTTGTCCGCCTCCTATTCTTCAAATATCATCTTGACAGACTTGTTTGGAAACGATGCCAGAATCATTCTCTATAAACAGACAATTTTGCCATGTCACTCTGATAAGGTGAGACTCGGAAATGGATAGGAAAAAAATATATATAAAATGACCATCCTAACCTCCTCTTTTCTTATAATGGTACATATCTTAGGATTAACACTAAATTTTTTAATGTATAAAGATTGAATCTTTAAAAGAAAATAAGAATTTTGAATTAAATTTATTCGAGTTTCCTTTGACGTGGCACCTCCTATGTGCGCGCTCTCTTTAATATCACGAAGAGTGTTTTAATGAATAAATATTAATTGATGCACTGAACACCGACAAATTGATTCTCATTCACAATTTTTTTTTCTACTCCCTATAGGTGACATTGTCAGGTTTGCTTAATTTTGTTGATGGTCTCTGGTCGAGCTGTGGCGATGAGCGGATCATCGTGTTCACTACGAATCACAAAGACAAGCTCGATCCGGCAATGTTGCGTCCGGGACGAATGGACGTTCACGTCCACATGTCCTATTGTACTCCATGTGGATTCAAACTTCTTGCAGCCAATTACCTCGGCATCAAGGACCATGAGCTTTTCGGAGAGATTGAGAACGCAATTCAATCGACGAAAGTAACTCCGGCTGAAGTGGCCGAGCAGCTCCTGAAGAGTGATGAGCCTGAAACTACCCTCGGTGGCTTAATTGATTTCCTCCATGCGAAGAAGAGGGAAATTGAAGAGGCCGAGGCTAAGAAAGTAGAAGAAAATTTAGTAGAAAAAGAAAGCAAGAGTGAACAACAAAAAGCGAGTAACAAATCAGAAGAGTAGTGCTTTCCAATAATACATAATTCTAGAGAGACAAATATAAACTAAGAAAAGATTGAGCATGACTTAACTCTCATTAAAGCAGCATCTATCGTTGCATTACATTTTTAGAGTATTACAAATCAGTGCAACAACATTGGAATTGGGTTGGGCTTAGAATTGAGGCATCAATAGATTGTTGTTGTTATTTATGCATGTAAAAAGAGACATTTTACTTTTAAAAAGGCCCAATTTTAAGGCGCATGTCAGGTGGGTCTTCTTGGGAAATCCATTTGACTTTTTCCAAAAATAAATAAATAGAAAGAAATAAAAAAAATATGTTACAAATACAAAAGAATATACTGAATGCAAAATATTACTCTGCTTTACTAAGTAGAACTCACTTTGTTTCCACATATATTTATACACTATTTTATAGACCCATTCATTTCATACTTGTATAGTTACTTTTTTCATCTCCATGTTCCCAATTCACTCCTACAATTTTATTTTATCATTGGAGTGTCGATTCATCTAAATTCGTCTACAAATAACTGACTTTTCACATTTTATTTTATTTTATTTTTTGGGTAAGTCAATTTATTAAGAGGAAAAACGAACAAATACACAGGCTACCCAAAAAGGCAGCCCAAAAAGGAAACAACAAACAAGGCACTAAGGCCCAACAAAGAAGCCCGAAGGCAATAGACACCCTCCATACAAATCAAAACAGAGGGAACAAGCACAACAGAGACACAAACAAAGAGCAAAAACTTAGCCAGTTCTAGTATTGCTATCAATGACTACACTCGGTAGTCTCCAATCCGCAACCACACTCCGAGATTTTTTTTAGAGTCTTTGAACCTCATGGATAGAAGTCGACTACAAATACAATCTTCAATGAGCTTCCACACCACGAGGGTAGGAAACTTTCACAAGTAACGTTTGTTCCTTTTCTTTCATATAAAATAGACAGCAGTAGAAAAACATAGTCTAACTGTTATGGCATTCATAAAATTGCAATTGTCATTCCAAACATTGTCAACCCATCTGGTATGATTACGCTCACCGCATTGAAAACCACATGTATGTTGAACATGATCCAAATGTAGGAAGAGAAACTGCATTTAAAGAACAAATGCTCAATTGTTTCATCCTCCCTCATACATAAATTGCATAATTGAAGAATAATTACATATTGCCCTTAGCCATTACAAAGCACAGCCTAATGGGACAAAAAGGACTTGTAAGTGCCTGAGAAGATTGGCTTACAATTCTCTAATTTAGATCTTCCTTAGCATGTACATATATGCCAAATATAATTAATATAGTATACTCCCATTTATGTTAAACCACTAAAAACGGGATCATACATCCTTTTAAAAAAAAGATAAGAGCCTAAATTTGTAAGTGTTCGTTTGGGAGGGTGGGCCTCTCTTTTATAGAGCCTAAAAAAACAGGGGAGACCAAGTGTTCTACTGGAATAATTACCAAATATATATATATATATATATATATATATATTCAAGAATACAATATTCTAGGGTATTTATACACATACTCACTTTTAGAGAAATGAAGAATTTTCACAAAAAATAAAATAAATAAATAATGACTTATCCTCTGGAAGAGATAACATGTATATAGGGCCCGTCCTAATGCTTTCACTTTTTTAGTTTTACTTTCTCTAAAAGTAAAATCATGTTTTTGATTTCTTGAACTAAAATAGAAAGTAAAATAATGTTCAATAATTTCTTTTACTTTCAATATTTTGAAAGCAAAAAATAAAAAGTAAGTTTAATAATTTTAATTTTAATTTTGTTTTCCTAATCTTGTGTGTAAGAGATGGATAACAAAGTCATATAGCTTCTCGATTCTGAAATCAATATACACACAAACACAAATGATTACAAACAACCAAAACAAAATCCATTAGTTCCTGTTAGCGAATCATCTCTCTCTTCCGATGCCGGAATCGTGGACCTCAGCCTCGTCAAAGAAATTGAAGATTCCATTGTGGGTGTTACAGAAGTGGCTTGCCTTGATCTGGGTTCGATTATGGTGATTAGTAATAGAGACGCAAAGGCTTAAATTTGATGGGTAGAAGAGTTTGGGTAGATGGAGATATGGTGGGTTCGAAACGAGAAGCCTTGAAGAACAACCATAAGCCTTCGGTTGTGTCGTCCATGGTGGATTCAGGGATGAGATATGGTTCGAATAGAGTGTAAAAAAGATAAGAGTGGCGAGCATAGAGAGAAGAGAGAAGATGTTATAAACGAGACAGCAACTCACGCACAACTTATTTGGGATGAATAGTGGCCCGTGTGGTAACAGTGTAGGAATCAATTTCCCGTTACAGTGCAGAAAGTATAGAAAGCATCGAAAAGTCATTTTTCACTTTCTTCATTAAAACTAATTTCACTTTCTCTTTTTAGAAATCAGAATCAATTTTATTAAACATAATTGTACTTTTATTTCTGCTTTTTCAGAGTTGACAGTAGAAAACAAAAATTACTTCCTGTTAGTAAACAGGCCATACTGAATAACCTAGGAACAATTCCTTTGCATTGGCGAATAATCATTAGTTACTGCAAATTTACAAAGCAATAATTGCTGAAAAATTACCAACATACTAACTAAGGAAAAAAAAATTGTTGAAAATTTTAAAATAAATAAAATTACTTTTGTGATTTTATGTATTATATTTTTAAAACTGAATTGTAATGTGATTATCCTAATACTTGTGAATTTCTGATTTAATTAACAGTATAATTTTTATACCATTAGATGGTAGTTTCCTAATTTAATTAAGACTCGACATTGGTATCTAAATTTCTATGATGTCTCCATGACTAGAAGGGATTCCTAACCCCTCTATAAGCATAAACTTTGTCCATGATGTTTCCATTCCTAGCTCCTATAGAAGCATAAAGGATTCCTAGCCCCTATAAAAGCATAAACGTATTCAGCCCTCAGAATACAATTGTTATATTTGTTGATAGTGCAGAGAATATTAGCACCATGTTTTCCCTGAAAGGCATGAATCCAATGTTTTCATCATCCTCAATGTTCACGACCTATGCTTCAGTGTCTGCTTCAATTATGTTGTTCAAAACCATATTCAACCAATTTGTGCCTATCCAAGTCCAATCCTATATCGTCTCCAAAATCAAACACTTTCTGTTCAAATCCCCACCCAATCGTGTCACTTTCATCGTTGAAGACGGCGATGGCATGACCCCAAACATAGTCTACGATGCCTGTGAAACTTACTTGTGCACAAAGATCAGTCCCAACGCGCAACGGCTCAAGATTTTCCAAGGCCCGAGAGAGAGAAATTTAAGAGTCAAATTCGCAGAGTGTGAGAAGATTATTGATTCCTTCGAAGGGCTCGAGCTTCAGTGGAAGTTCATTCATGAGAAATCTTCACAGGGTAGTGCGAAAATTGGCGGGGAGGCAAATCTCCATCACAGAGACGAAAAGAAACGGTTCGAGCTAAGTTTTGACAAACAACACAGGGACAAAGTGTTGGGCTCTTACTTGCCATTCGTGGTCCAAAAAGCGAAGGCCATTAAAGCCGAGAAGAAGGTTGTGAAACTGCACACATTGTCACAATATCCAGGGGCAAAGATGTGGGACTCCATCAATCTGCAACACCCGTCAACCTTTGACACACTGGCTATGGATCCGGACTTGAAAAAGGCGGTGATCGATGATCTTGATAGGTTTGTTGAGAGGAAGGACTTTTATAAGAAAGTGGGCAAGGCTTGGAAAAGAGGCTACTTGTTGTATGGCCCTCCGGGGACCGGGAAATCGAGCTTGGTTGCAGCCATGGCTAATTACCTCAAGTTTGATGTGTATGATTTGCAGCTCATGAATTCAAAAAGTGACTCAAGCTTGAGAAAAATATTTCTTGCAACTGGAAATAGATCCATACTTGTGATTGAAGATATTGATTGCAGTGTGGAATTGCCGGATAGAGAGTTGGTGTCTCCGGCAGGTTCTGAACCACGTAAACGTAATCCGCAGGTCAGTTTTGGTGTCATCTATATATACTTGCTGTACATATTTTACTCTGCCACAAATATTTGCATGTATGTATGTGTGTGTGTGTGTGTATATATATATATATATATTTGTGTGCGCGCTTTGCATGTCTGTAGATATCATGATATAGATGTAGAGGAGTGTCCGGTTTTGAAAATCGTGAGCACGGTGTGCAATGCTAATTGACAGATGATATTAGGGAGTGCACAAGCTAGGAAGGTTAGATCAAAAGGAAGTGATTATGAGGCATGAACGCTCCCATAAATTTACTTTGAGGGGTAAAAATTGAGGATCAATTTTAAAGAAATAAACCAAACAAAAGTTTTATACCTTTACAATGACCCTAAATTTCCATGGGTAATTGAGGATATATGAAGTTTAGGACGTCTAATTGAATAATACTATTAAGAAAATTCTCTTATGACAAAGATATAAGTTATCTTTATTTAATTATTGAATTGAAATATTTTAAAATGCCTAAAAAGTCAAATAAATAATTTAATGAATAAAAACACTCATGCCTCATGTCCTCTGTTGTTGAGCTTCTCACTTGTCCTTCTAAATTAAGAAACTAATATTATGCTAGCGCAGTCTATAGCTCTACTTCTTGATCATCTTTATCTTTTCTGCATGCAGTTCACACTTTCTGGACTACTGAACTTCATAGATGGTCTATGGTCTAGCTGTGGCGATGAGAGGATCATCATATTTACAACGAACAACAAAGAAAAGCTTGATCCTGCTTTGTTGCGCCCCGGGCGGATGGATATGCACATTCACATGTCTTACTGTACCTTTCATGGATTCAAGTTCTTAGCCTCCAATTACCTTGACATCCATGGCGGCTGTCACCGGCTTTATCCACAGATAGAAGAACTGATCGCGACAACAAATGTTACTCCTGCAGAAGTTGCAGAGGAACTCATGAAGAGCAATGATGCCGATGTCTCTCTTGAAGGACTCATTGGTTTCCTTGAGCTGAAGAGAACCGAAAGTCATAAAACTGAGGATGAAGGGAAGGATGGGATTGAATTCCAGGAAGCAGATAAGCTCCAAACTCCCCAGACACCCAAGTTATCGAAAAAAAAAAAAATCCCCCAAACTGTAGCTAAGGCTCCGAACCAATAGGACGTGTTAATAGTGGGTTCGGCCCTGAATTTTACAAATTTTCACCAAGCCGAGCGCTCTTACACTTGGTCTTACACTCCACATGAATGTGCTCGGACTCTCGTTCTCGTTCCGTGTGACATATATTTTGCTACTTTCAAATTCCTGTATAAATTAGATTTGGCCCTAGCATTATCTTTGGAACTTTAAGGTATGGATATTAGAAAATAATAGTAAAACTTTTCATTTTAATTTTTTTAGGGTTATCTTTCCTTCTTTTCTTTTTTTTGCTTGCCCCTCCATCTTCCTCTCAGTGGTATCTCACTCCATTTCTTATATATATATTTTATTGTCTCACATCTCTTAGTATTTTTAAATTTTTCTATATTTGTTTTCTTGCAAACTTTCACAAAACCTAATCTCCAAGGGATTTGAAATTAGTATTTGAAACAAAGAAAAAAAAAAATAATGTAATTTCTACTTGGTGCCATAATTTCATTAGTTGTTATAAATAAAAAAAAATTACAATAAAATAAAGTAAAATAAAATGGGTTTAGCAATTTTGTAAAAGGGTAATTTTAAAATAAAACTTATTAATTATTATTTAATACTGATATATTAAACGTTGAAGTGCCAAGATTATTCGTTTAGGATAAGGAAAAATTACAAATACATAGATTTTGAATTGTTATTTATTATTTCATGGAGTTAATGACATGAATAAATAAATAAATAACACTTGTTCATTTTATCCAACTGCCTAAACTATATATAAAAAAAAAAAAAAAAAAAAATTCAAAATCATTCGCATAACAAATAATACCTGCATAAAAAGTGATATCTCTATACCATTTTGTAAACAATACTATCACTTTTTGTGGGGATGATTTTGGCTATGGGTGATCAAAATTTAATTTATCGAAATTGTAAGAGTTATTTGGGTGTAAAATTGATTTTTTTGAAATTTCCTGACATTGACTTCAAAGGCCCACATATTTGTAGTTTCCCCTGGTATTAGCCACAAACGTCGGATGTCCATCACCTTCATATATTGTTGAGCAAGCCCTGAACTGATGTATCGTACCTATCTTAAACTAATTATTTATGGGCCGGGCCAAGTTTTTGGTTTCGGCTTTTTTGTAATTTTGGTGGGCTTTTGCAGGGTAGGCTTTTGATTTGTTTGGTTGGGTTTTAGTGAAAAAAGCTTGTTTGGTGAAAACTCTTTTATTTTGCATAGTGTTAAAACGTTTTCTGAATATTGAACACCAATTTGGTGTTTTTGTATGTATTCGCATTGTACCGGTTGGTACTATAGCATTGAACAGTAAATTTAAAAAAAAAAAAAAAAGAAGAAGAAAAAACTCTTAAACGACATTTTTAAACTAACCATTATATTTTTCAAACTTGCAACACTTTTTTAACAAATATGTTTCATGTTTTTGCTTCAAAAAATCTTACAACAAATAGATGTTACCAAACATGCTTCCGATTACTATTCAAAACACTTGTTTTGTTTCGAGTTAAAACAAAACGCATACCAAACAAGTCCTTAATATATATACATGCTTTTTGCTTCTTTTTTTATTTTTATTTTAAAAAAGTAAATCTTATATTTCAATGATCAAAATTAAAGAAAATTGTTTGAAAGTGAACTTAAAATTACAAAAGACAAAGGTCCTGTTTGGGGGAGCTTCCTCATATTAAAAGTCTTTTATTGATAAAGACCTTTGTGAAAGGAATTTTGTTGGAAGGAATTTATAAGAAAAAGACTGTTTGGTGAGCACATTTCTTAAATTTACTTTAATATTTAAATTTTTTTTTTTTTTTCTTGACAATAATATCCTTTGTCCTTAACAATTATTGCAACCCTCCAATAAGAAAGTGTGAAGGTGGCAGTGGTGGAAGGCGATGACAATGTTAGTATTAATGGTGGCCGCATAAAGCAATTGCGATGGTGGTGGCAGTTAAGGGTGGTGGTGGAATGTGATGATGTCGGTGGTGGTGGAAGGTTGCAGTTGAGGGTGGTGGCGGCGGCAGTAGTAATAGTGGAAGCTTGGAAGGTGGCGATAGCGATGGTAGTGGAGGGTAAAGGTGGCGGCGGCGGTGGTGGCGGCAATAGTGGTGGCAGTGGTAGTGAAAGGTAATGGTGGAGGTGGTAGAAAGTGGCGGTGGCAACAGTAGTGGTGGTGGAAGATTGTGGTGGTGGTAGTGGAAGGTGGTGGCTGTGGTGGTTGGTGGCGGTGGTAGTGTATGGTGATTGTGGCGGTGGTAGCGAAAGGTTATGGTGGAAGGTGGTGGTGGTGGAAGGTGGCGGTAGTGGAACGGAAGACTAAGAAAGAATATTGAACAATCTTGTCAATTTATGAAAAACATATGGGCAAATTAGTAAAATAACATATTTATCTATTAAAAAATAGGCTTTTTGAAATGAGGTTTTAAAAGGCACATTTTTGTTTACTTCTCTGAAATGAACTTCCTTAGGGATGGCAATGTGGTAGGTTTGGAGCAAGTTTCCCTAAATCCCGCCCCGCCCCTTTTAATTTTTGTCAAGTCTATGCCTGCCCCGAGACACGCGATGGGTTGGATTTTCATGTCCAGTTCCGCCCCGTTGGGAAATACTGTGCCCATTGCCCGCCCCGCTAACAAATTTTTTTCTCCCACTTTTTGGAACTTAAGCTCCTGGTATTTAAATGTGGAAAGACTGGGAATGACACAACATAAATAAAATTATGTATCCCAACAAAAAAATAAAATAAAATAACATGCACATAACATAATTCAGATAACATAATAAACAAAAAATAAAAGTTTAATACAACCAAATCACAAGAAGTTCTAAGCTTCAACTTCCACAATAACCAAAATAAAAGCAAATTTAATACCAAATTTACATCCCAAATTAGGATTGTAAGAGATGTGTAACTAAGTAAGCCGCTAAAATAAGTTATTAATATTATATATATATATATATATATATATATATATATATATTAAATATAGTTATATACTTGGTGGGGCGGGGCCCCTAGGATATGTATACTGAACCCTTTCCCGCCCCGTGACCTGCGACGGGTACAAAATTTGTATCCATGCTCATCGTTTCCATATCCGTTATTAACGGGACGGGACGGGGCGGTAAAAATTGATATCCCTAGACTTTCTGACCATTTGCTTTTTGAAAACGTCCTTTACAAATGTGTAAGTAAATGTTACAATTTTTTTCAAATGAACTTTTCAAGTTTGGAAGGAACTTTTGAGGCTGTAAGAAGCTCCCTAAGCGGCCTAAAACCCTTAGCCTTTTATTGTAGAAGGCAAAATATCAATGGATTATATTAAAAAAAAAAAAAATGAATAGTCACCAATTCTGACACAAAATTGCTGTTTAGTGAACAAAAAAATGGGTCATGTCAAATAATAATTTTTTTTTGTTAATAAAAATAGTTAATTAGTAAACCAATTTCTTGGCCAGTATATATCAAGTATGGCTAGAGCTTCATATGTATAGTGGATGGATAACTATGTTTAATCTTTTTCCAAAAAAGAAAAAAATATATATAAAATTGCTTTAGAGTTCTTTAATACAAGTTTATTTACCAGAAAAAAAAAAAAAAATTACTTTAGAATACTGAAACTTGGCAATGGTATTACATTCTGCAAGTCCAAGTAAAATATTTAGGCAGTAAAGCTTAATAATTGACAACTAAAGAGTTGGTATAATAAAGCCAAAACCTAATAGCAATGTAATTCAATTTACCTAATTAAATATAATTTCATTTTTTTGAGAATTAAATATAAAGTTGGAACTTCCAACACTAACGTAAGCTAACGACACCAAGTTAAAGGTAAAATGGCTATTATTGAACCAATTAAAGCAATTTAATTACACACCACATGAATAAACACATGTAAAATCAACTTTCTTATTTCCTTTATAAATGACCAAACACATTAAATTTAAATTAGCAAATCATTGAACATTATTCGAGTAAAAAAAAAAAAATTGGCATAAATAGAACCAACCTGTGAGTGGTGCCCAAGTAAAATTGCGTTCTCTGCAAGTATTAGTCAGAAATTAACTGAACTATAACAAAAGTTATTTAAATTGATTTAACATTTAACAGATAATAATACATATATATTTATACACATGTAATATATACACACACACACACACACACACACACAAACTGTTGAGGGTGAAATCCACGAGGTCTGATACGACACCGTTTTCCTGCAAAGAAGAGAGTAGAATATCGATGAGTCCTGACGGCGCCTGCTAAGAGCTTTCCAACGATCAAATTAGTCACCGAAGGTCTAAAAGAAAGGTAATGATTTAATAATAGTTTCTTCGTCGTACCTTATTCTCGAGTCGTTTTCCTATTTATCGTCACTCCCCTTATTCTTGATAAGGAAATATCATAATCTTATCCCATGAAAATCTTATCCTTGATAAGATTTGTCATTGTCACATGGAACTTATCCAATGGAAATCATTATCCTTGATAACGAAATATTATCTTTCGAAAGTAGAAGAGATCTGGCGGCTGGTTAACACTTAGTTGCCTTTATCGTTAGGTCAAGATAGGTTAGGTTTATTTTTCCTTATCAGTTGTTCCTCATTCCCAAGCTTGCTTGTCTAATTTTGGGAATGTAAATTTTTTTTTTTGCCCCCGGTATTGTTCCTGCGGGAACAATGGCCGTGGGTACTATTCATTGAACAGTAGAATTTTTTTTTTGGCCCCCGGCACTGTTTCGGGAACAGTGCCCACGGGTACTGTTCATTGAGATGATGTTCCCATGGGTAATGTTCCCTTGGGTACTCTGCCATTGGGTAATATTCCCTTGAGTGATCTTCCTTTGAGTACTCTTCCCTTGAGTAATCTTCCCTTGGGTAATCTTCCCTTGGTTACTCTGTCTTTGGGTAATGTTCCCTTGGGTACTCTTCCCTTGCGTAATCTTCCCTCGGATAATCTTCCCTTAGGTACTCTGCCCTTGGGTAATGTTCCCTTGGGTACTCTTCCCAATGGTGAAATTAACACAGATACCAAATCAAGTTTCTGTTTTGGAAGGGAGTGGATTCAAATCCATGGTCAATGACTCTTAGTGATGTAAAACTGGATTTTTCTTTTGAAAATCCAATATACTAGTTGTAAACTTCATGGGTTTCAGTCAACCCATCCCTTTGGCAAGGGAATAAATTTTACGAGCTTTACTTAGCTCGTCACTCCTATAATAAGGGAACGAGCTTCACTCAGCTCGTCTCTTTAGTAAGAGAATTAAATTTTACGAGCTTTTCTCAGCTCATCCCTTTTGTAAGGGAATTAGGTTTTACAAGCTTCATTCAGCTCGTCCCTTTAGTAAGGGAATTAGGTTTTACGAGCTTCACCCAGCTCGTCTCTTTAGTAAGGGAATTAGATTTTTGTCAAGCGTCGAGAATACTAAGTCTTAGTGAGCTAAACATGCTTGATGATTACTTCTTTTAATAAGGGAAATAGATTTGCTCGAGCGTTGTGAGCTCACCCTTTAATAAGGGAGTAGTTAACCCTTCGTCTCTTTACCGAGGGCAAAAGATGAAGTTAACCATTCGTTCCTTTATGGGGGGAAAGAGGTGTAGTCTGAAGGAGGGTGATCCATTTAATACGAGAGGTAGTCGTCTCGTCTTTCTAGTAAATGAAGGAAGATTCTCACCCTTCTGTGTAAAAGAAGTAATCGGTTTCTTGTGCCTTTAATGAGGGAGGAATGCGTTGTTGGCCTTTGGTTCCTTTAATGAGAAAAATAGATTACTATGAGCTTAATATTACCACATAGGTAGGTAACTAAAAACGTAATATTTTATCGTGTAAAAATTGAGGGTCATCTATCTTAATGGGGATGGTAACCTTATTGGAAAATAAAATAACATGTGAAATGATGAACTGAGATGCCCCCAGTCTTTATTTTGAATGACTTGATAAGGCTAATTCCAGCTGTGAGATTGTTAGTCGGTATACTTATCTGAGTCCTCCTCACTATATGTCATATCGCTTTGGCTGAAGATGATCTCTTATAGCTAGTATCATTTTCATCCCTGGTGAGAGGGGCTAACCTCTTCTTGTCCTCTCATTCCTTTCCCTTTCGTGCATTCATGGCTTCTTCAACATTCATGTGTTTCTGTGCTCTGATTAACAACTCTGCCATTCTGGTGGGAGGTTCTTTGGATTAGGCGAACAAGAATCTGGAGGTTTAGAGTCCTCCTATGAAAGCGGTCAAAGCTACCTTATTGTCCACCTCTTCTGCCTGCAACATCTCTGTGTTGAATCGAGTGATGTATTCCCGGATCGACTCGCCCTTCTGTTGCTTCACGGTAAGCAGGTAGGTGGCCAGCCTCCTGTGCCTCTGACCTGCAATGAAGTGGCTTACAAATTGTTTACTCAGTTCTTCGAAGGTGTTGATGGTTCCTGGCTTCAGCTTGTTGAACCAAACTCTTACCGATCCCTTAAGTATAGTAGGAAAAGCTCGGCACATGATTGCATCTGGCATGGCGTGCAAATGCATAAGAGCTCTCCAGGTGATCAAGGGGATCTTTGGTCCCATCGAAGCTTTCGAACTAGGGCATCCTGAACTTGCTAGGCATGGGGCATTTTATAACGGCGGGGCTGAATGGTAGGTTGGTCCTCTGCACCAGGTCATCTATGGCTTTAGGACCTTTCCTTTTCATAGCCTGCATTACATCTTCCATTTTAGCCTTGAGATCCTCGATTTGAAGGTCGAAATAGGTAACTTTCTCTGTCTTTTCCTTAACACAGAAGGTTGTGCCTGTTTGAGATCGGGGATTCCGCGGAGGCGGGGAAGGAGGTTCTCTGTGTCGGTTTCCGACTTGGCTTTGTTCTGCCACGAACTTGTGAGAAGGATTGTTTTCTCGGTCCTCCTCGTGTTGTCCCCCATCATTCAGATTGGGAGGACATGGGTCGGACAATTCTTGTTGAGGTGGTGGTCCCGCTAGGATAAGATGTAGCAGGATCTCTGCATTTTGTTGGATCAACTGGTCCATACTCTGATGCAGAGTTTGGACCTGTAGTTCTAACGCTGCAAGCCGTTCCTGGTCATTCGGGACGTCTGGGTACTCACCTGACCCTTCTCTTTGACTGGATCCCTGCAACGATGTTTCTGTTCCAGTTACCATACTGGACCACAAGTGCATATACCCAACCGAGTAATTGATTTAAAGGAATCGTCGTTCCCACAGACGGCACCAACTGTTGAGGGTGAAATCCATGCGGTTCGATACGACACCGTTTTCCTGCAAAGAAGAGAGTAGAAGATCGATGAATCTTGACGGCACCGGTGTGGTGCCTGCCAAAAGCTCTCTGACGATCAAGTTAGTCACCGGAGGTCTAAAAGAAAGACAAGGATTTAATAATAGTTTCTTCGTCGTACCTTATTCCCGAATCGTCTTCCTATTTATCGTCATTTCCCTTATTCTTGATAAAGGAATATCATAATCCTTATCCCATGAAATTTATCACATGGAACTTATCCAATGGAAATCGTTATCCTTGATAACGAAATATTATCTTTCAAAAGTAGAAGAGATTTGGCGACTGGTAAACACTTAGTTGCCTCTATCGTTAAATCAAGATAGGTTAGGTTTATTTTTTCCTATCACATACAAAAACAAGCATTAAGAATGTGGAACCATTTTGGAGTTGATTAATGAAGACAAGGTTCATGTGAGTATAAGAGAAAATTACAAATGAATATAAGGAGTGTAATGCTAGAAAATTACTAGAAAATTACAAATGAACATGGGAAAGCACAAAATTGAAAAAGAAATATACAAGGGAAATAAGATGAAAAATCACACAATATAACTAAACACAGAGATTTAATATAATTTAATTTACAGACTACATTCATGGTTGAAGATGGCTAAAGATTTCACTTTAATTCCATTTAATTTGATGGAAATAGTATTTAAGAAAGGAAAGGAAATGAAGTTTTTTATAAGCACTTTAGTTTGGATGGCAAAAAGTACAAAACACAAAAATTTTGAGCAAAAGTAATTTTTAATACAAAGGAAACAATAATTTTTTACCTTTAACACGTCATATAGATTTTATAGTTTTTTATTTTTTCATTAATAAAAAATGCACTAACACACTTAAGCACCTTTTTCTAAGTACAATAAATTATGAGACCCTTGTTAAATTTTATAGATCAAAGAACAAGTCTATCTATTCAAATCTTATTTGTCTCTTAAAATGAAGTACTTCATTAATTTTAATTATGGGTCTACTCCATTAATTTTAATTATGGGTGTTGAATAGGTATGCACATAGCTCGGTTCAATGCGATTCCAGACTAAATCAAAACTGAATCGATTTTAATAATTTCAAAACAATTTTAGAATCGAAACCATTCGATCATGCAACCGAACCGACAATAAGACCACTTCGATTGCAACTCAAAGGACGCTGGACTAACTTTACTTTCTGCGCGCATCTCAGCTTCCTTTTTGCTGCCAGCCAAGACTCCACTGAAGCTTTAAAGCTCAGACCAGTCCTGAGCACTTGAAATCAGAAACAAAGCAAATTAAAAGTAAAGAGAGAAATAAAGATAGAGATAAGGTTTTAAAATGTACGAGAATGGAAAAATAAAATTGAAATGCCATTGTTAGAGGTAGAAAGATTCGTTCACAATTCAAAAGCTATAGCAAAAGCGACAAACATCCAAGTAGGACGCTGTCAAATCCTCTTCTCCCGGAAAAAAGCATCACTAGGCAGAAAGATTCGTTCAAAATTCAAAAGCTGTAGCAATTAAAGACACCGTTAATCCTCTGAGAGACTTATTTCAGAAACATTCTCCACAAACAGACAATTTTGCCATGTCACTCTGATTAGGATGGTGAGATTGGGAAATGGATTGGTTGATCAAAAAGAAGTAAAATGACCATCCTAACCTCAATTGGCACTTGATTGATGAATTGGGGTCATACTTGTCAATTTGTAATTTAATTGACATTGTAATTTAATTGGATTTGATCCTAATAATTGGTATATAAGTTTTCTTGATCAGAAGGGTTTCTCTTATTGTTGTCTGTAAAAGCATAACCGTGTTCAGCCCTCATCATACAAGTGATTGGCACCATGTTTTCCATGGGAGCTGGCATGAATCCAATGTCTTCATCATCCTCATTGTTCACGGCCTATGCTTCACTGTCTGCTTCAATTATGTTGCTCAAAACCATGTTCAACCAAATTGTGCCTTTCCAAGTCCAATCCTTTGTCCTCTCCAAAATCAAACACTTTCTGTTCAAGTCTCCACCCAATCGTGTCACTTTTATCATTGAAGACAGCAATGGTATGACCCCAAATATAGTCTATGATGCCTGTGAAACTTACTTGTGCACGAAGATCAGTCCCGACGCCGAACGGCTCAAGATTTTCCAAGGCCCAAAAGAGAGCAATTTAAGAGTCAAATTCGCACAGTGTGAGAAGATTATTGATTTCTTCGAAGGGATTGAGCTTCAATGGAAGTTCATTCATGAGAAATCAGAGAGTAGGATAGCTGGTCATGGTCGTCGACTTGATGGTGAGACAAGTCTCAGTGAAAAGAAACTGTTTGAGCTAAGTTTTGACAAACAACACAAGAAGGACAAAGTGTTGGACTCTTACTTGCCATTTTTAATCAACAAAGCAAAGGCCATCAAGGATGAAAAGAAGGTTGTGAAACTGCATACTTTGTCACTTCATCATGGGCCAATGATGTGGGACTCCATCAATCTGCAACACCCGTCAACCTTTGACACACTGGCTATGGATCCGGACTCGAAAAAGGCTGTGATCGATGATCTCGATAGGTTTGTTGAGAGGAAGGAGTTCTATAAGAAAGTGGGCAAGGCTTGGAAAAGAGGCTACTTGTTGTATGGCCCTCCGGGGACCGGGAAATCGAGCTTGATTGCAGCCATGGCTAATTACCTCAAGTTTGATGTGTATGATTTGCAGCTCATGAATTTAAGGGGTGACTCAAACTTGAGAAAAATCTTGCTTGGAACTGGAAATAAATCCATACTTGTGATTGAAGATATTGATTGCAGTGTGGAATTGCCAGATAGACACTTGATTATGCCAGTAGGTTTTGAACAACGTAAACCTAATCCGCAGGTCAGTTTTGGTGCCATCTCTACTTGCTTGCATGTTTGTAACTATTATGATATATGTTGTTTCTACCTCCTCAAAATCCCAAAAAGAGCAACATGTTTTATTTATTTATTTTATTTAACCTTCGACAGAAAAAAAATAATAAATAAAACTCGCGCATTTATGTAACACACTCGTTGTGATCGAAAATTTTAATTCTTAATTTTCTACTACTCTGTATAAAATTAAGGAGGGAAAGTGTCACTAGACTGCCTCTCTTAGTGCAAAGCATGGTTAACTGCATAGCTCATTATACATACTTAAGTTCAATTACCATTACTTCTGAGTGTTACCTCTTTTGTCTTGCAAAGAGAATTATTTAACATACTACTATATATGCTGTTTTCCTAAAATTTTTAGTTTAGAAGAGTAAACTGACTTCAACATTATTTGTTACTATTCCGCTAGGGTTCTGCTCAGATGTAGGGGCAAGCCGGTCCTGGCCTAATATTTTTTGAGGTTCGAAGTGAATATGAAGCCCAAAATTTTGAGAGATCTTAATAATACAAATTTTTGAGCCCAAATTGGTGACCCTAAGCGACTGCCTGGGTCTCCCAGGCCCTAGGGCCGGTCTTATGTGGAGATCTAAGGTTACTATCTCAGATGCCTTAAATTCAAATCATATTTTAAATTCGAATCATATTTTAAATTATATTTTTTGTGATTTGTAGGTGATTGAGAATGTTTGAGAGTTTATGTTATAGCCCGAGTCTAAAGGTCCTTATTGAATCATTGAATATCATATATTTATACCATTTAAGATTGTAGGTTTGTGTTACTTTTTTACATTCAAAAATAAAATATTGAGAATTCAAGTCCCATAGAAGTGTGTGTGTTTGAATTTCTTGTCACAACAATAGTAATAAAAAAGAATCATATATTTCCTGCATGTGCTCTATGCTATTGATCTTATCACTTCAACTTCTTGATCATCTTATATTTTCTACAGTTCACACTTTCTGGACTACTGAACTTCATAGATGGTCTATGGTCTAGCTGTGGGGATGAGAGGATCATCATATTTACAGCGAACAACAAAGAAAAGCTTGATCCTGCTTTGTTGCGCCCCGGACGGATGGATATGCACATTCACATGTCTTACTGTACCTTTCATGGATTCAGGTTCTTGGCCTCCAATTACCTTGACATCCATGGCTGCGGCCATCGGCTTTATCCACAGATCGAAGACCTGATGGTGACAACGAATGTTACTCCTGCAGAAGTTGCAGAGGAACTCATGAAGAGCAATGATGCCGATGTCTCTCTTGAAGGACTCGTTGGTTTCCTCGAGCGGAAGAGAACTGAAAGTCATAAAACTGAGGATGAAGGGAAGGATGGGATTGAATTCCAGGAACCAAATAAGCTCCAAACTGTGGGCATGGCTTCCGACCAATAATAGGATGTATTAATAGCAGGTTTAGTTCTAAGTCTCATAATTCTTGTGAGGCTCCTACTTTTCTCAGAGATTGTGACTTATTTTAGGCTCCTCTTTATGTAAATTAGGTTGGGCCTATTATGGTGGGTTTGAACAATTTAAACCCAAACCCAAACCTAAAAAACTTTCCTAAAACTTCAGATTTGTGTGAGTAGATTATCACGTACTTCTATTCCTAGAATTTCCTTACCTTTAATGATACCTATTGTCAGACTTAGACATACAGTTTTTGCTAATGCATACAGTTTTTAATGGTCGTGCAATACTTAAGTGCATTGAAGTTTTACTTTGTTTAAGTGTGATTTTTATATTCTTAAGTGTACGTCTTACATTATTTAACAAAGGTTTTACTTTGCTTAAGTACAAGTTTTACATTATTCAGTATAGATTTTACATTATTCAGTAAATGTTTTAAATTGTGGTTCTTAAGGGTAATTTAGTATACATATATTTATGAATAGTGAAAAGTGACGTATTTGTAATTATTTGCCTAAATTTTTTTTTTATGGGTTTATTTATGAGTATTTATATTATAGTAATTAAGGCCTAAATTTTTTTTAAATTATTATTAAATTAACCCTTTTTTTATTGTCTCATAGTATTTTTGAATTCTTCTGTATTTGTTTCCTTGTACATTTGTAACTTCCTCTATTATTAAACCATAAAAGTTGCTCAACTCTCCCATCACCTTCGAGCAAGCCCGAACTGACCTGCCTAAGAGCAGGTCCAATGGGGCTCGCGGAACCAAGTCTCTGTGAGCCCAAGTTGAATTCGACGACCCATTAAAGTCCAATGGGGATCTCTATTTTGTGGGCCCAAATTTTGGGTTGTGGAATCCAACAACCCAGTTGGCGATCACGGGCATGCGATGAGGCGTGCAAGCAAATTTTTATTTATTTATATTTTTTGAGAAGAAAAAAAAAAAAAAAGAAAAAGAAAAAGAAGGTACCAGAGAACTATGCAACAGCTCTGATGGCCTATTTGGGTCAGAAATCAGCCAAAAAAAAATACATATATTGGTTTTTTTTCCCTCCCCTAAATAATACTTAAATTAAGAGCCGTTAGCTCCTGTAGATGCAAGGAAAATTCTCTTTCTAATGATGGAAAGTTTCTCTTTTTCGCCAAACACATTTTTTCTTTCCTTATTTTTATTTAGTACGCTTGTTACCCTAATTCTCTTTCTTGGGTTACAAGTTGGGAGTAAATGGGCTTGGTTCTCTTCTTAGGCCGTCCCGCTTATGGGTTTGGTCCGATATAAATGTGATTGGACAAAATTTATAATACTAATGTAATACTTGAAAAAGTTAATGTGACTCGCCAAAAAAACAAAAAAGAGCAACGTTGATGTGACTTTTAAAAATACTCACGTGACTTTTTGAAAGAGCTTCATATATATAATTTCACGACAGATGACTATTCATATTTTTGCAACTTTAAGATTACTTTAAAACTATTATGTTTAATTTTTTTCAAAAGGATAAAAAATTACTTTAAAATTCTTTAAAACAAGTTTATTTACCAAGGAATATATATATATATATATATATATATATATATATACAGTGACGGACCCAGAAAATTTGGTGAGGGGGGGCGAATTTTTAATTTGTGGGTATAAAATTATATGATGGGTTTATTTTTGTAATTTTAGTAGGGTTTTTTTCATAAATTTTAAAAAAATTTAAGTATAAAATGAAAAAAAAAAAATCAGTGGGGCAAATTATAATTATAGTGGGGCATCTTCATAAATTATCAAAATTTGAAGTATAAAATGCTAAAAAAAAAAAGAATCCAGTGGGGGCGAATTGTAATTTTAGGGGGGGCATTTTCATAAATTTTAAAAACATTAGGGTATAAAATGAAAATATTAAAAATTCAGGGGGGGCATCTGCCCCCCCTAGTCCCCTGCTGGGTCCGTCCCTGTATACATATATATACTGAAAGATTATACTCTAGAATTCTAAAATTTGTCAATGGTATTACATTATGCAAGTTGAAGTAAAATATTGAGATGCCCCATAGGTATATTGGCGTTGACAGAAATTCAGGAGGTAAGTCCTTAAGGTATTGCTTTTAAATCGCATTCCTGATTTGAAGGGTGAGTGTGTTATGGTGAGGTATTGCTTTTAAATCGCATTCCTGATTTGAAAGGTGAGTGTGTTATGGTGCCGATACACTTATTCAAAGGAAAAGAAGAAAAAAGGAAAATATTGAGGCGGTAAACCTAATACTTGACAACTAAAAAATTGGTATAACTAAGCCAAACCTAATAATTGACATAGCAATATAATTCAATTTACCTAATTAAATATAATTTCAATTTTTGAGAATTAAATATAGAGTTGGAACTTCGACTATATAAAGTAAGCTAACGACATTTAGGCTTCGTTTGGATACATAGGAGAAAAGAAAGGAAATGATTATAAGAGAAAAGAAAAGAAAGGAAATGATAGCTATAATTTATATTCATGTTTGGATAGATAGGAGAGGAAAAAACAAAAGAATTGGTAATATTGTTATTTGGATAACACAAAGGAGAGAAAAGAAGGGAAAGTATAATAATGAAAATACCATCTTACCCTTTTTGGTTAGGTTAGTAGGGCAAAATCATTTCAGTCTCTTATTACCTCTATCTCTGATCCTCTCTCTCTCTCTCCAACTGCATATTGGCATATCATTTCAGATTGTTCCAAAAATCAAAACCCATATATTTCAAGCTTGCCCCTCTCTCTCTGCAACTGCTAACTTGTATGTATGGGTTTTACTTTAAATTTTTTTCCAAAATCGACTAATCAAGGTCTATAATTCTTATTTTGCAATTCGCTCCCCCTCTCTTTCTCTGCAACTGCAAACTATATATATATATATATATATATATATATATATATATATATATATATATATTTCAGCCCCCCCAATAGCCTCCATCTCCTTCTCAACCTCCCTCTCTCTCTCTCTTTCTGCAACTCTAATCAAAACCCATATCCGCATATCATTTCAGATTGTTAAAAAAATCAAAACCCATATCCATCAGTTTCTATCACCTGTTATTCCAGTCCAGTTCGGTCGCCGTTCACAAATCAAAGCTTCAACCGGCTGTCTCTCAACTCTCTTGCCCCTTTTGTAATTTGCTCCATTTCTCTCCAAATTCCTCCAAATCTTGTCAATTTTGGAGGGATTCCAAATGGGGGATTTGGAGGGATTGCTATCCCTTCAAATCTCTCCAAATCCTTTTTTTTCTCTCATATTCTTCCCATCTAAATACACTCATCACTATTCTTTCCTTTCTTTTCTCTCCAAATCCCTCTAAATCTGTCAATCCAAACGATTAGTGGAACCAAGTTAAAGGTAAGGTGGGCTATTATTGAACCGATTAAAGCAAGTTAATGATGCACCAAACACACAGCAAATCATTGAACATTATTTGGGTAATAGAAAAACAGAAAAAGAAAAAAACACCAACCTTGTGAGTATTAGGCAGGAACTAACTGAACTATAACAAACGTCATTCACATTGATTTAGCATTTAACAGATAAATATATATGCACACATACAAAAACAAGCATTAAGAATGTGGAACCATTTTGGAGTTGATTAATGAAGACAAGTTTCGGTATAAGAGAAAATACAAATGTATATAAGGAGGGTAATGACATCATAAACGTTTTTTTTTTTTTTTTTTTTTTCGATAATGGGATGTTCCGGATTTGGTCGCTTTTCTTAAGGAATTGATGTCACTTGAAAGGATTGGAACCTTAGACATAATACCTTATGAGTCACTAAGTCTAGGGCTTCACCACTGAAGCCAATCCATTACCAAAATAATTAATTGTTGTGACAACATGGCAACACACAAAATTGAATAATAAATATACTATGAAAATAAAATGAAAAATCACAGGATACAACTAAATACAGATTTTTAATTTAAAATTACAGGAAAAAAAAAAACCAGATTTTTAATTTATTCAATCTATTAGATTGAAATAGTATTTAAGAAAGGAAAGTAAATTAGGTTTTTTTAAGCACAATAGTAAAGAAATAGAAAATTTTGAGCGAAAGAAATTTTTCATCGAAATAGTATTTAAGAAAGTAAATGAGGTTTTTTTTAAGCACAATAGTAAAGAAATAGAAAATTTTGAGCGAAAGAAATTTTTCATAATCAACTAATTTTTTTAACAAAAAATACATTTCTTGTGAAATTTTATTAATTTACAATAATGCTTTTTTTTCTTTTTTTTTTTTTTTTTTTTTTCCTCCTGATAAATCAATAATGCTTTATTTGCTTTCACTTTTTACTATGAATTTTCATCTAACTAAACAGATCTCAATTCTAAACCCTAATACAAGCTTTTACCCTTTTTCACTTGATTTTGGTATTTTTACTCGTTGGCGCTAAAAATACAAGTCATGGCATCCTCATATGTATTGGGCATCTCCAATGCTCTCTCATTTGAGATTTCAAACTCAAAATATGAGAGTTGAGTAAAAAACAAAGCTTTCCAATGGGCTCTGATCATTTGGACTCTCAAATTTTGAGATTTTCAAATTTCCTCTCAAATATAGAGGCTGTCAAAATTTTTTGGCAGACCTCTTATTTCTCATACGACGCCGTTCCTCAATCATATCCGTCTGTCTCCCTTTCACTGTAGTCCGAGAAAATGTCTGAACCAGAGGAAGAAAAATCAGACTTCCACTCCCACGTCAAAGGAACTGACTCCACGGCTTGCCCATCTCATCCGAGCTTCCCCTTGCTCGCCGGCAACCGTTCCGAAGCTCTCTGCCATCATGCCATTGAAATTCCAACAAAAATATATAATCTCAATCCAAAAGTTGTTCCCCCCGCCCCCCCCCCCCCCCCCCCCCAACACACACACACACACATATAATATATAATTTCAACCCAAAGTTGTCCAACAATTCAAAAACCCATCCAACACCTTACACGTATCTAAAATTTAAACTCAAAATTCACAAACTTTCATATATTCAACTATTTAAGAAAAGAAAAAAAAATGGTCATGTTGTTGCTAGATCCAGACAGAGATAGAGAGAAAAGAAAAGATACAGAAAACCGCAGCCCCTAGCTAGACCAACTGAGTAAGAGCCACAAGCGCGGCGATGAAGACAACAAGGACCGACAGAGAATGGCAATTGCAGTAGCCGAGTTTCTAGACTAGATTGCGAGGGAGCATAAGGGTTCCACAAAGGGAAGTAGTGTT